GGTTTGGCCTGGGACCCAGCTCTCTGGAGGAGAAAACGGGGGTCCCGGCTTTCGGAGCAGAAGCAGGCAGCCCTTAGCGGGCAAAATATCCTGAATTTTGAGTCATGCAGCCTGGCGGGGTTTTCTGGTGATTTTACACTAACCTTCCCGTTTGAAAAACCCTTCCCAGAGCAGCTGAGGAGAAATCACCCAGCAGACAAAAGAGAAAAATGCTCTCTGGGTTTTGGGGAGTTGATTCTCCCCTTGCAGCGGTGAGCGCGGCACCTTCCAAATAGCGGGTTGGGGTTTTTTTCTTTTTTTTTGGTTAGGAAACATGTTGCAGCCAAGGAGTATTTCTGTTCTTGCGGGTTTTGAGTTCCCAGCGCGAATCCTGGCTTGTGCGCCGAGCGAGTGGGCTGGTCCCATCACTTCAGGTGGCTCTGTTCCCACTTCCTTGGGTTTTCTTTGCTTTGTCTTCACCTCCAACACTTTGGTACTTGCTGTCAAAAGAGAGGAAAAGAATTATTTATTTTTGATGCCACAGAAGCCACGTGCATTAACCCTTTTTCGGAGAGAGACCCATTTTAGAGGCGAAATATAAAGCTACGTTTTCCTCATCGGCTCAAAAGCGATCAGGTTTTAAAAAATGACACGTGCAGGCTGTTAGTTGCGGGTTTTGGCCTCCTTGCTGTCGAGACGTAGGTTTTGATTAGGCAAACGCTGGCGTGGAAAGCCTGGTGGCATGCATTTAAGGAGCTTGGTCCTTCCTGGGGGTTGGTCATTCCACCCAGCTCAGCTGAGCATCCCCTTTGCGAAATGGCTGGTTTTCAGCAGAAGGAGCCCTTCGGCGTGTGCTGAACTGGCAGCGCACGCCTGAAGGTTCAGCTGAGCCAGGTGGGACGCGGTGGCGGTGCCATTCCCATCAACTCTGCTTTCTGCAATAATTAAAAAGACTTTTCCAATTAGTAGCTAATGGCTTCCGTGGTATTTCTGTAACGTTTCACAGCTGTACACTGATTTTTTTTTGCCTGCATGAAGATGTGCATCGCCTATGGTGGGCTAGAAGAAGAGGTGCCTCAGCAGAACAGCGGTTAAGGGAAACTGCCTGGGTTGTCGCTCTGAAAATGAGCTGGGCTTTTTGCAAGGTTGTGCGTCTTCTCTAAGTATGTTTGAATGACCTTTTTTTATTTTTAAGCAGATGTCACAAGGTACGGGTCTCATTTCCCCAGGTACCTTTGCAGTGTTTCCATCAGTGTTGGATATCCTGCTGCCCGTGTCCTACCCTTGCCATTGTCCGTCAGTCTCCGTTCCTCCTGTCTTCTTTTTTTAAAAGATGCAGACGTAATGCTGTGAACTGAAATAAATTATTTATACAATGAAAGGGCCTGGTAAAAAAAAAAAAGTGTTCTTCTTGCTTATTTCTCAATATCAGTGCAGAACAGTTGGTTCTCATTGCATGTTACGAAGGAGGTTGCTCGTGCCTCCCTGGGGAGAGGAGATGTGGGCACGGGGACGGAGAAAGGACCTGCTGAGGATCACACTGCAGCCGGCAGCACGCTGGCACGGGTCTGTCGCATGGCAGCCCTCTGCAGCGTGTCCCTCTAGGACACGGGGAACATCGATAATTTTGCAGTTAATGAAATCTGAGCTGTTTCGCAGGTCACTTAATTCCTCTGCATCTCTGCTGCTGTCCGTGAAACGGGAGAGTACTGTTTGGCGTGGGTATTTTCTTCCCTCCACTCTTTTTATTTTATATCTGTGTGAAGGAGGCGATCACCCTGCGCACAGCGCTTGGAGGAGGAAGCGAGAAAGTTTTGGTTTTGCTCAGTGTGGCTTTTTATGACGCGTGGCCTCGGGCAAGCCGTGTCGGTGGCAGAGGGGCGCGCAGGGGTTAAAGCACCAGGCGGGCAGCTGAGAGGGGGATGCTGCGGAGCCAGAGGGAACACAACGGGGTGACATTTTGGAGAGGAGAGATGGAGCTGGCTGGTAGATGACCATTTCTTTCTTTTTTAAAATGATGACATGGCAGTCGGCGAAGAAATGATGAGCCTGGTTGGTGAAAGTGCCATTTGGCAGGGCTTCTGAGCACTTACCCTGCTCGAGGTCTGTGCTGGGTTCCTCGCTGCTTCCCAGGTGCCCCCCCTGGTTTCCAGGGTGCGTGGGTGAGAGGACATACTGTCAGGGGAGCTTTAGATAGGATATTATGAAAAATTTCTTTGCTGAAAGAGTGGTCAGGCATTGGAACAGGCTGCCCAGGGAACGGGGGAGTCATTGTCCCTGGAGGCGTTCAGAAAGACTGTAGATGTGGCACTTTGGGACATGGTTTAGCAGGCATGGTGGTGTTGGGGTGATGGTTGGACTTGATGATATCAGAGGTCTTTTCCAACCTATGATTCTATGATTCTTTGCGGGATCAGGGCTGTGGGGCTCTAAAAGGTTGCAGGACCTCGAGATGAACCTAAAGGCTTACCTGGCGATGCAGTTACCGAGCTCCTATCAAGGCTGTTGGTGCAGGCCCAGAAATCCCTTGGAGCCGAGCTGGATGGTGATCTGTGGCGTTCAAGGACTGAGTTACTCCGTCCTCAGCCGCTTCGTGACCGTGTGGAGAGCCTCTGAAAGGTGCAGCTCCCCGCAGGCTCCTTCCTCGCACAGAGCGTCACCGACGGGTTCCCGTCTCTCTGCCGTGCAGGCGGTGCGGCTGGGCGCGT